TTATATTATAGGCATATACTGTGTCATTTTGAAAACATTCCTAAAGACCTAATTACCTTTATAACAGAAAAATAGTTTCATTAAACCTGAAGTCATATTCTAGTGTAACTGCCTTTATTTGTGGCTCATCATTTCTCTAAGGCATTCTTTCTGAAATAAAACAGTCTATTCTTGGTGTCAGACCACAGGGGGTTTATTTTTGAACACTTAAAATTATGCTTTTTTTTTAAAGTTCTGAAATGGTGAAAAAAAAATACATTTTTCTAATTAAAATGTAATCTTCCAAACCATTTTTATCATTCCCATTCCAAACTGGTAAAGCCATACACAAAAATTTGTTCAATTCTCTTCCTCTGGATTACAATGAAAATCTTAACAATTCTAAAAATATTTTTTTAGTAATGAATACTGGAAAAGTTTTAATAATAATAACAGCTAGCACCTATTGAACACTTATGAACACTTATTATGTGTTAGATATTTTGCTTAGTGCTTTGCCTATATTGGAATCCCTAGGTGTACAAATGATTAACGTGCTTAGCTGCTTAACCAAAAGGTTGGAGATTAATTAGAGTCCCCCCAGAGGCACCTTGGAAAAAAGGTCTGGTGATCTACATCTGAAAAATCAGCTATTGAAAACCCTATGGAGCACAGTTCTACTCTTAGACATACCGAGTTGCCATAAGCTGGAGTTGGCTCCATGGCAACTGGTTTGGTTATGCACATGCATTAACCAAAATCAAATAAAACCCATTGCTTTCAAGTCAATTCCGAGTTTATACCATTTAATTCTCATAGTAACCCAGTGAGGTTGGTATGACTATCCTCACATTTTGAGGGATGGAAACAGGCTTGCAGAGGATGAGAACGATGTCTGACGTCACACATGTGGTAAGTAGCTAAGTTATGCCATTTACGTCATGGAGACATGCACGGATTGATTGTGAAATTATGTGCCTTAATGTGTACTAAGCCCTTTCACTTATGTCTCTCCTTTTATCTTCATAATTGCCATCACACCCAACAAAATACACGACAGGATACTCTAGGGAAGAAGAAAAGATCAAGAGGCTCCTCACTCAGCTCTCTGCCCTCTTGATGTTCTCACTCTTGCTTCCTCTCTGACTATCTTCTCCATTGAGATGAAGGAAGCCTTGCCAGGGCCCACAACAAGTACTGTGGAAGAAATGCCTTCTCTCACTCTTTCCCTAGATCTTTAACCCCCAAATCAGAGAGGTAAACAAGTCTAAGGGTATTATATTCTTGCAGGTAACCTAGAGGACAAGTAAAGCAGCAGGTTTTTGCATATACCTGCCTAATTAATATGAGACATAGATCTCTACATATATATAATTATTTTTGCGATTTTCTACAACTGTATTCAAGCCTTAACATACATTAATATACTTCTTTTAACATATTCCATGAAAATACATGTCTTTAATACATTAATATAGAATATTTAGAAAATACAGATAGGTAAAAAGAAAAAGAAAGTCACTTATAATCCAGAAGGGAAAAACTGTAAAGATTTTGGTGTATATCCTTGCAAATATGTAGGTATTACGTGTGTGTGTGTGTATACACACATATATGTATATACATAATATATATGCATAAAATATAATTTTCATTTTGTTTTAAAAATGGGCTAATACTATAAAACCATTTTATAAATTGCTTTTTCACTTTATACCATTTTAAATGCTTGCATAATATATTACCACCTGGGTATATCATTATTTAATTAATCTCCTTTTGGCTCTTTCGGTCATTCCTCATTTTCCACTGCCATAAGCAATGCTGTAATACATATACAACTTTTTGGAGCTAAAAAACAACAACAACTTAAAAATGATACAAAAACTGCAGCCCAGAGTGGTCAAAGGCATTGATCAAAATCTCTCAGTTGAAACGCTTGGCTGACACTCTACCTGGGGGCTTCTAATGACCAGTCCAGGTCTCTGTCCTTTACACCAGTGGTTCTCAACCACGATTGCAGGTTCTCAAATCACCTGTGGAGATTTTTAAAAATATCATGCTGAGGCCTCACCCCCAGATATTCTGATTTAATTAAGATGGGTGGGGCCCAAGTATCAGTATTTTTAAAAACTCCCTGAGGATTCTAAGGGTTAAGAGCCACTGCTCTACACTCTGCTGCTGCTGGAATCCAGACCATGCAGAGAGGTGTCCTGGGACCCCCACCCCCCACCCCCCCATCATTTGCTTCTGCATGCTATGGACAGGACTGTATAATAGAGCCTCTCAAAATGTATTACAATTATTCTTTCTTGAGATAATAGCACTGGAGTATGTTAGTCAATTTTCATGGGGTAGTTGGTCTTTAAATTTGAAAGAGAAGTGTGTGTTCTTGTAAGTGCTCAGGTTTTAGAGAACTTTGTTTACTTTTAGAGCTGGTACGGGGGAAGGCTGGAGGGCAAATGAGGAGCTGCAGCTTAAGGGACATATGAACGTCTCACACTCTTCACATTTTGCACTCACAGCTACAAAGCCCTTTAGCATTAGCCCTCAGATCTCAATGGCTCCGAGCGCCCATCTGCTTGGGCTCCCCAGGCAGCTTCAGAAATCCTTAGGGTTGTATTTCTGTAAAATACGAGTAGATGTCTAAACAGTCGCAGCCGTTGCTCGCCACCACAGTAGGCTGGCCTAGGCATATGCAGCCTCAGGCCCTGACTGTACCACAAAGGTGCCAATTCAGCTGGAACTTGGCCATCACTGCCATTGTCTCTTCCTGGTTGTAGAAGAACTGGAAATTGACTACTACCTAAGACTGGGGAAAGTAGAATTCACCTCCTCCTCCTCCAGGCAAGAGACTGCAAGTTAGAAAAAGATTGCTTGCTGTGTCTTACATTTAGCTGGAAAAGAAGTATCTGGAGGCAAAGTTAATTGGACACAAAGCTCTAGCATTTAGTATTTCGAGTTCCAGTTCATACCCACAGTTTCCACCCCAGGGCCTGGTTTGAGGAGAGTTCAGAGACCATGCTATACCCAGAACACTACTCTCTTGTTGTTAGGTGCTGCCGAGTCGGTTCCGACTCATAGCGACCCTGTGTACAATAGAACAAAACACTGTGCCATCCTCACAATCGTTGCTATGTTTGAGCCCATTGTTGCAGCCACTGTGTCAATGCATCTCACTGAGGGTCTTCCTCTTTTTCACTGACCCTCTACTTTACCGAGCATGATGTCCTTCTCCAGGGACTGATCCCTCCTGATAACATGTCCAAAGTATGTGAGATGAAGTCTTGCCATCCTTGCTTCTAAGGAGCGTTCTGGCTGTACTTCTTCCAAGACAGACTTGTTCGCTCTTTTGGCAGTCAATGGTATATTCAATATTCTTCACCAACACCGTAATTCAAAGGCGCCAATTCTTCTTTGGTCTTCCTTATACATTGTCCAGGTTTCAAATGCATATAAGGGAATTGAAAACACCATGGCTTGGGTCAGGCACACCTGCGTCCTTAAAGTGACATCTTTGCTTTTTAATACTTTAAGGAGGTCTTTTGCAGCAGATTTGCCCTATGCAACGCGTCTTTTGATTTCTTGACTGCTGCTTCCATGGGTGTTGATTGTGGATCCAAGTAAAATGAAATCCTTGACAACTTCAATCTTTTCTCTGTTTTATCATGATGTTGCTTATTAGCCCATGTCTTAGTCATCTAGTGCTGCTACTACAGAAATACCACAAGTGGATGGCTTTAACAAAGAGAAATTTATTTCTTCACAGTCAAGTAGGCTAAAAGTCGAAATTCAGGGCATCAGCTCCAAGGGAAGGCTTTCTCTCTCTCTGTCAGCCTTCTCATCAATGTTCTCCCGGACTAGGAGCTTCTCCACACAGGGACCCGCGGTGCAAGGACATGCTCTGCTCCTGGCACTGCTTTCTTGGTGGTATGAGGTCCCCCTGTCTCTCTGCTCACTTCTGTCTTTTGTGTCTCAACAAATTACCTCAGGACACAATCCAATCTTGTAGACTGAGTCCTGCTTTACTAACACAACTGCCACCCACCCTCCCTCATTAACATCACAGAGGCAGGGTTTACAACATATAAGAAAATCACACAATACCAGGAATCATGGCCAGTCAAATTGATACACAAATTTTTTGGGGGACATAATTCAATCCATGACAGTCCAGTTGTGAGGATTTTCTTTTTCTTAATGTTCAGGTGTAATCCATCTGAAGGCTGTAGTCTTTGATCTTTATCAGTCCTCCTCACCTTCAGCGATCAAGGTTGTGTCATCTGCATATCGCAGGTTGTTGATGAGTCTTCCTCCAATCCTTACATTCTTCTTCATACAGTCCAGATTCTCGGATTATTTGCTCAGCATACAGATTGAATAAGTATGGTAAAAGGATACAACCCTGATGCACACCTTTCCTGACTTTAAACCACACAGTATCCCCTTCTGTTCAAATGACTGCCTCTTGACCTGTGTACAGGTTCCTCATGAGCACAATTAAGTGTTCTGGAATTCCCATTCTTCGCAATGTTATTCATAATTTGTTATGATCCACAGAGTCGAATGCCTTTGTATAGTCAATAAAACATAGGTAAACATCTTTCTGGTATTCTCTGCTTTCAGCCAGGATCCATCTGACATCAGCAATGATATCCCTCATTCCACATCCTCTTATGAATCAGGCTTGATTTTCTGGCAGCTCCCTGTCAATGTACTGTCGCAACCACTTTTGACTTACCTTCAGCAAAATTTTACTTGTGTGTGATATTAATGATATTGTTTGATAATTTTGGCACTTTACTACTCTCTTAGAAACTATGTAAAGTGTCAGAATCCTTCTTCCTATGGTGGATTTCCTTCTGACAGCTCCCTGCTGTCCCTCCTGTGAACTGGGTTCTTTAGATCTATGTAATACATCAGAACACCAACTGAGGGTAAATGAGTGAATACAAATGGTGAGGAAGGGTGTGCACTTCCAAGAGAAGAAAGAATCTGTGTTCTTGCATCTTATTACCCAGAAATTCTTTATAGACAAAGACTAGTGCATGACTGGAGAGAGGAGCCTACGGACAATGGACACAGCCATGGGCAGGAAGTCAGAAGTTCTGGCTGCACATTCTGGCTCTATCGCTCCAGGCTGTGTGGCTGAAGGTAAGTCGCTTCACCTCTCACAGCTTCAGTTTTCTCATATGTAAAATAGGAAATAATTCCCAGCCGACAGATGTGTGGAAAGGATTAAGTGACAGAATGTTTGTGTAAACACTGTGTAGCTTACAAAGCACTAGAATATCCATAGTGAAAGCTGATTCTACTATTCAGTGAGAAGTACAAAGCTACTAGAATTTTCAAAATCCTTAAAATAAAGCATTTAATTAAGTGCTATTTTGTAGGAAGAGGAGCTATAGAAGATTCCTTTGTAAACAAACAAACAAGCAAAAATATTGTACTCTTTTCCATATGTTCCACAGTGCATAGCACAGGGCCTTGCATTAAATAGGAATGAAATAAATATTTGTGGTATGAATGAATTAAAATCCATTGAGGTCTTTTTTAGACCACTGAGCTAGGGCGAGATTTCCCCACAAAGAACATCCTCCTTTAGCTCTTTCTCTTTTGCTATCCCCATCTCCACCTCTATCATCACCAGTATTTGCATTCATGGACATTCTTGGGGGCATCTCTTTTATACCTGGAGGATGGAAGAAGTCAATTTGGGTAGGACATAGACCCAGGAAAAAGGAAGAGAACTGTGGTGGGTTGAATGGTGTCTGTTCTCCACCAGAAATCTAGAATAAATTTGAACTTCTGTGGAGAAATGGAGTAGAGGCATAAGTTTCAAGAAATAGATGAAGAGTTTATGAGCAGAGCTGCTTCAACCCCCATCTGACCAAATATGGCATAGAGTTGGAGAGGAGGCCATTCTTCCCACTTCAGTGTGGAACCCAGCACCACTCTGCCACCTGGAGACTGGCTTCCAGAGCATCTCCCAAAGCCCCCCCTTCACCTGGATTTCTCAAGATGAACAGTGATAGTATGGGAAATGTACAGAGGGGGCTTGTGGGCAGTGGACGCGGACCAGTGGGAGCTGAAGCAGGACAGGGAGAGCAGGGCTACAAGTTGCTGATAGTGCCTGTGATGGCAGACTGATTAGTGGGCTCATGTTGTTTCTTTTGGGTACTTTCAGAAAAAAAAAAAAACAACTGTGGATACTTTGAAGAAAATTAATTTCCAGGATTAATCCAATAGGAATTCAAGCTATCATAATTTGTTTATAAAAATGTAGTGTAAACATACTTTGTGGTCCCAGGTTGAGACACTTAGGTTAATGATGGATATGCCTGCTGGGCTACATTGAGAGTGGCAAGAAGATAGCTATTGACAATTTCACATGAGGGAAGAGATAGAAGAGAATAAGAGTAATAAATAAAATAATATCTGCTAAAATAATAATATAATAAAAAGAAATAATATAATAAACAATAATACAATTTTTAAAAGAACCCTGAAAGTTTAGGAGTGCGGGATCCTACAGACCTCAAACCCCCCCGAAGGTATAATTGCATTAGGAGTATAACACTGATGTTTGAAATTTTGATGCTGAATGATAGATACAGATATCGAATCTGTAACTAAAAAAAACTATGATGAAAATATCAAATTATCAGAGAGTCCTAAGATCTTAGAGTTTTTATGAACTTAAAGGTCAGTCATTTGATGCAACTTGCCTTCAAATGCATACATTTCTAATGAGTTTTCTCTCCACAGGTGTCACCCATGCCCTTCCTTCCCCTTCATCTCATGTTACCCAAACACTTTATTGGGGGATGGAGAAGTAGGCAGCAGGAAGTACAAGAGAGAATGGATGATCCACTGGGCTACATTAAGTTTTGATTCTTGGAATAGGGAAAATGCTTGATGTAGGTTCCATACTTGCAAGCAGAGGAGCTGATCATAGCTTTTTACTCTTTACTGGGAATTCAGAAATAGCTGTGCAGAAATGGCCATAACTCTTCTGTGAAAATTGGCATTTGTCAATATTTTGTATACGTTTTTTTAAATTTAATTCCTACCAGCTACTAAATCATAAAAATAACAAGAAATTAGGGTAAGACAGCATTTTTTAAATTTACCCTTAGGATCTCATTTAGACAAAGTTGAAATATGTTTATGCCCAGTACTCAGCATGCATGCTGACCTTGGACTCTGTTACATACCTGACAGGCCATTTGTCTTGATCTTGATTATAATAAGATTAATGGCTCTTATTTGATGCAAGTCAGCAATATATGAGCTATTTGATAATTTAAATAAAGTCTTCTTAGTTAAAGACAAGGTCTTTCAAGTAATTTGACTCAGAGGCAAATGCTCAATTATAATTCCTTTCCTTAGATTCAATTCCAGAAATGTTTAATATATCCCTAAAACCAGTTGTTATCAAGTAGACTCTGACTCATGGTGAAGTATGAGAGTAGAACTGTACTCCACAGGATTTTCAATGGCTCATTTTTTGGAAGCAGATCACCAGGCCTTTCTTCTGAGGTACCTTTGGGTGGACTTGAACAGTTAATCTTTCGATTACTATTTGTAGTACCCAAGGACTCCATAACATGTTCCTAAGGCTACATAAATAGCTTTGACCTCAATTAATTAATAATCCAAAGACAAATATATATTTCCCTTTTTTTCTATATTTAGTAGTGTTTTTTTTTTTTTTAATAAGCTGACAGGTATTGACAAGTTGTAACACTCCCTAATGTGCCATTCTGAAAGCAGCAAAGAAATTAAGAAGGTTACACGGGTCATAGTTACTAATACAAACACAGAATGATACAACCATCCAGGCATTTCTCTAATTGTTCACATTCAACAGTCTGCAAACATTCTGAGCAAACAAGCAGATGATTAATTAACAGAGATAGATGCTAATGGCCGAGGCCATTTTTAGTCGGCAAACTTTTTCTGTTGGCCAACATTTGAAAATTGTGTTATTTCACATAAAAACATGAATTTGTGGCTTTTCTGAATTAAAAAAAAAAAAAGGCTACAAATCTGGCAACATTTGGCCCACATTTCCACAGGGGAATCAGCAATCAATGGAGCCTGGTTGGCAGCCACTGCTTTAAATCAGTGGGCATGTGCTCTCCAGCCCACCTCAGCCCACTCAGTTCCCTTCACTCTTTCATATGGCCTACCTGGGCCCCTACTGGATGTCAGTTTTGAGACCTTGGATTGCACGCTGCCTCTAACTAATTCGTACCTGGATATTTCTAGCTACAGAAAATATCCTCCCATCAACTTCCTGCAGCCCTTTATCTCTTGGTGGTACCAACAGCCTAATCAGCACAGTTTCCCAAAAGAACTGTTCGACCCTTTTTTTCCATTTCCTTTTCTCTTTTCCAGTTGAATCATTCTCATATGATGCTTCCTTTTCTGCCTCCCACAGAATATCCTTCTCAGAAATCAGAGAATGCCTTTATAATTTAAGCCAAAGGATGAAGCAAGAATTTGCCAGAATGAACTCTGATCACATTTCTTTTGGAAAGATTACACCTAAATAGATGTATGAACTCACTTCACATTTTCACATCAGATCTACAATGGCGCTTGTACAATAACCTAATACTAAAATGTTAGAGAATAATTCAAAGCCACTCTGATTCTGAAGAGACATGGTAGCTTAAAACATATTTCATCCTCAGAAAACAAAAGATGGAATCTATGCATATAAAAGCAGTTAATATGGCTTGTTTTATGGAAAGAACATTTGCTGAGTGATTTTGCATTATAGTTCATACTGTGGCCTATGATAATCCGAGCAGTTTCCTCATTATTCAGCGATGGTATGATACTCAAACAGATGCAGCCATTCAAGCTCGAACTTCAGATACTAAGGAAATGTGATTCATGATGAAAAACATTCATGGGAACCACCCACTTTTCCTCAAATCCTATTCTTCTGGTGTAGTTACTGCTGTTAGGGAGAGAAGAATGATGGCCTGGCTCCTGAATCTGTGTGCTGACTAGCAGGATTTACCTCAGCTTCTCAAATGTCCATAGGTGACCTCCCCACATGTATACTCTTTGAGAATTATGAATGCTAGGGCTTTCCACTAGGATTACTTCAACATAAAGAAAACAAAAATCTTCACACTGGACCAATAAGCAGCATCATGATAAACAGAGGAAAGATTGAAGTTGTCAAGGATTTCATTCTACTTGGATCCACAATCAACACCCATGGAAGCAGCAGTCAAGAAATCAAACGATGTATCATACTGGGGAAATCTGCTGCAAAAGACCTCTTTAAAGTGTTGAAAAGCAAAGATGTCACTTTAAGGACTAAGGTGTGCCTCACCCAAGCCATGATATTTTCAATCACCTCATAGGCATGCAAAAGCTGGATAATGAATATGAAGACCAAAGAAGGGTTAATGTATTTGAATTATGATGTTGGGAAAGAATACTGAATATACCATGGACTGCCGGAAGAACAAACAAATCTGGTTTGGAAGAAGTGTAGCCAGAATGCTCCTTAGAAGCAAGGATGGCGAAACTTTGTCTAATCTACTTTGGACATGTTATCAGATGGGACCAGTCCCTGGAGAAGTACATCATGCTTAGTAAAGTAGAGGGTCAGCAAAAAAGAGGAAGACCCTCAAAGAGATGGATTGACACAGTGGTTGCAACAATAGGCTGAAGCATAACAACGATTCTGAGCACAGCACAGGACCGGGCAGTATTTCCTTCTGTTTCATTCACAGGGTCACTGTGAGTTGAAACTGACTTGACGGTACCTAACAGCAACAACAAGGCTTTCCGCCATCTGCTGTGGTCAAGGGAACTGACTTTTCACTCAGCTTTGAGTATGGTATTTCTGTATTCCATGTAGGGGACAGCTGTACTCACTCAAATTATACATTCCCAAATGGTAATCACAGAAAGAGTCAGACCATTCACATTTGCTTCATCTAGTTCATTTGGTGATGAAAAAGTCCACACTGTGTTGCTCATAAAGCTCTGTCTTCAATGGCGACTGCTTTTGAGTA